TGTGTACTGTATACTGTCAGCTGACCACTTTCTACCACACCAGTAATGTTCCTATCCCCTGCCCTACATCATATATTGGAACCAACGCCATTCCATTGCGGGAAACGGCGCTATTAATTTCGTGGCAAAAACAGACACACATGGACATAATAAAAAGGATTAAAGGATAAAGTCTTCGCCGTTGATCAATCCCTTTGTGGGATGCGGCACGCATTCTACTTCCATTCAGAATCGTAGTGGCTTATTGAATGCGATGTGGCCTATACAATGACTTGCGGTGGCCAGCCGATGTACAAGTCAGTGTTTTATCCTCCCAGACGAATCTGGTACCAATTTACCGTCCCCGGAGGGTAGAAGGCTTGGTTGGCCTGGGCGGGTGTCGACCCGGGATTCGAACCCGGCGCCGCGTGAGTGGTAAGCGCGCCACTTGTCACTACACCACCTCCGCCTCAGCACATGGACATAGACAGCTGCTCTTCGCGATGACGATCATCCAACTGACTGGCCGTGCAGGATCCGTCTCTTGCGTGGGAAGTGTCGCTCGTCACGCCCAGGGCGGCATATTACGATTAATTCTTGCCACATTTCGCCTCCATCCTATGCTCCAACACTTCCACGGGGTGCACGAGAAATTGGGAGGCGCGCTGTTTACTCAGTCACGCCCGGAAATGCTGCCTCTGAGTGCCGGGACAGTCTTGCCTGTCCTTTGTACCTGTTTTCAAATTTTTGTATTTCGATTTACAAAAGGAGAAATTTTTGAAAACAGAATGCCAGTACCAATAAGACCACCCGCTCTCCGAAAAAAAATGGAATTTGTATGCCAAATCAAAGGAAGTCAAACAATAGTCCGTTAAATGCGATTTTTTGCTCGTCCCTGGTTTTCTGGTATTACAATTTTCTTGTGCTATGCTTGAAGCTACTAGATGCTTTGCAAAAAAATAAAGGATGAAGCTTCCCGCGCTAAATTACATCTTTTCGGGAAGCGCCACATAAACCTTTCCCCCTGTCTTCCATTCACAATAAAGATACGATTCGGTAGGCCGCAGCAGGGGCCTGTACTGCATTTGAGACCCATGATGAGGGACGCCATTGTCACGACACCACCTGTGTTCGACCACTTCCTTACTATATTGTGCAGTTTGAAGCTCGACTTCATAATAGAAGGGTTGACGGAATCAAATCATCTTTTACTCTTAAAAATTTAAATAAACTTCATCATTCGATGCAGCAGGCAATATCATCAGAAATTTTATTTCCTAATTGCCAGTTTTAAGGCTAACAACTCATAGAATCCTCATCTCTATTATACAGTCGATATACCCACCAGAACAAAATATACAACATAAATACCGAGTACCCATTTCGACATCAACGGATTTCTCACGTTTCGATTCAGGAAGTGGTAATAATAAATAATAAAAACACTCTCAATTCCTTCAATTGATTAGTTCGATTTGCCTTCTAGCGACTTTTACGACGGCCTGTAGGGGTGGGAGGTTGAGCAACAGTTTCGGGACGACAAACCGTTCACCGCGGAATCGCTAATGATGTCCTGACCGTCGTCGAATGACGTCTTTTTCGGCTGCCTGAAATCACATTTCACTGAGTCAGGCATGTCCGGTCTGCGACCATCAAAAGCACTACACTTCATTGAATTACAAATGAAATCGTAAGAAATCTGAAGAAGGGAGGCCCGACATGCCTTCGTACGTGAAAAGCCATTTCTTCGCACCGATACAAATCTTCTTCAGATGCATTCGGGCCATGCCTACAGACAGTTTACCGCGCGAATGGTCGCAGTGCAGTTAACAGACCGTTTTGTACCGCTTCAGAAGGGCACGGTACTGACAACGGCACTGCAACTGTGGGCTTAGCAAACTGGTCACTGGAGACACGACTATGAGCAAAAAAATTGGTTACCAGTCAAGAGACGATTTGGTGGGAAAACTACGAAGACATGCCATGGTCTTACGCTCCCCTACTATAACAACACAAAGTTGACTTTTTTGCCAAGTGCTGAAGCGGATATGAGCAAATGAGAGTGCACTGGAAAGACGTAAAAAGAGCCACAAATGATCAAAAAAATGGTAAGCCTCTCCACCCCTTCCGGTCAACATTTCCATTCATTTTTCATTTTACCTTCTCTCATGCAGTCTTATTCGCTGCAAATGCTGAGACGTGTCAAGGGGGCTGGGTTTGGCACAGCGCCAGCCCGTGCTCCCCATCTGTTGTCGCTCGCCCGCTCCAACAATTAGTGGAGAACGGGTTGGCACCTGCCAAACCCAGCCTCCCTGACACTTCCTCAGCATTCGCAGCGAATAAACTTGTAACCACAACGTGAATTGGGAGATCATGGTGTTGCAGGGTACAGTAGTGACGCTA